GATGAAGTGGGTATTCACCCACGAAAGCTTATGCTCCAATACGTCTGTTAGTCTATAAGGTGCCACAGGACTCTTTGTCGCTTTTTGCAGATCCAGATTAACACGGCTACCCCTCTGATACTTGGATAGATGGATGTCTATTTCATTAGGAGGGTGGTGAAGCACTGGAATGGGTTACCTAGGGAGGTGGTGGAATCTCCATCCTTAGAGGTATTTAAGGCCCGGCTTGAAAAAGCCCTGGCTGGGATGATTTAGTTGGTGTTGGTCCTGCTTTGAGCAGGGGATTGGACTAGATGACCTCCTGAAGTCTCTTCCATCCCTGAGATTCTATGATTCTATTCTATGTCAAAGAGGTGAGAGACATTGTGGAGAGAGATACCTGGGAGTGGAGGGTGAATTTCACATCCTGGGGCCACAGAACAAAGGCTGTATCATCTCCTACCCCAAAGCAATGATGGTAGAGAGTCTATGCTAACATCTCCCTGCCAAGGAGACACGTGATGTGATAGCTCAGCAGGTGAGTTCGGTTTATCAGGTGGAAGGCAGAACAAAAAGGAAAAAGGAGAGGACAATCCCAAACCCAGGCATTTTAAGGCATCATTCTGACACCTCTCCTTCCAGAATTAAAAAGGGTCTAAGATTTCTTTTGTATTTTATTTTAGAGGACTCACTCTAAGCTGCCAACTCAATGGTCTGTAAGAATCTGATGGATTTGTCGCTTGATAAATATGCTTTCAGCTGTGTGTCCATTCCCACTCTCTAAGGATAGGCAGCCAGCCTATAGGGGCGTTGGACCAGCAGTTAGAAGCCCTGGGCTCTATTCCTGACTCACTGTGTGTGTATGAGACCCTGGGCAAGTCACTAATCTGCTTTGTAATCTTAGTGTCCTCCAGTGAAAAATGGTTTTTTTTGTGTTTTACCCACTTTCATGACATGTTTTGAGATGGGTGGATGAAAAGTTGCTATTCTTATTACTGAGTCAGAATTTGCGATGTTGTTTCTATTGCTGACAATCTCTTGAATTTCCCACCTTCCTCTGATCCAAAAATCCCCCTATTTAAAAAAGAAGGGTTAAGAAAACAATCTTCTGATCTGTTCTGCGTTCATTGTTTTCCTTCCAATGAATCTCAGAAATCCCTGTGAAGTTTGCAAAGAAATTAGAAGCGGTCAGTGCCGAGATCGGAGGGACCATCTCTCTGACCTGTGAGCTGAGCCAGGCTAAGGGGGATGTGCTGTGGTACAAGGACAGAGTTGAGGTCAAACCCAGCAAGCGCTTCCAGATTCGTGAGGATGGTGTCAAGCGGATCCTGACCATAATGGGACTCCGGGCCGAAGACAAGGGAGAGTATTCCTGTGAATCGCGGGACGACAAAAGCAGCATTCAGGTCACCCCCAAAGGTACCTTGCCAGATCCATGACATTGCGTGTGACATCCTGCTCCCCTCCCCTTCCGTTACAGTGCTAAAGAGCTGCATTAAAAAAATTCTGCCTGTGTTAAGAGGTCAGGGGACATTGTTGCTAGCATGCAGAAATGTATGTTGTAGCTGGGAAAATAAGGGCTCCCATCTTACAGTTAATGAATAGACAGCATGACTGCCATTCTGAAAGAGAGAGATGCAATGTATATTGTAGGTAGAAGATCCCTAGAAATGATATTTAAATAATATTTAAACAATGATAAAAATCTATACATTTAAGTATCAGCAACAATAAGAGCTAGTGCAGAGTCCTGCTAAAGTAGTATGTGGACTTAGTATGGGTTGATTGTATCGCCCTCTACTGGATATAACTTGCTGCTTAACCAAGTTTCTCTTTTATCTCACATGGCAGAGCCCTGTGATTTTGGTGGTGAAAGTCCCGGGGTCAATCTTGGTATTAGTATATGCGAAGCCACAGTTTGTTACCTTACCATGTCCACTTTAAAGTCCAAATTATATGTGAGCCTTAAAAAGTCTCCTCCTAGGACCCAGTTTGAACTATGGCGGTTTAAGAGGATGTTCAGTTTCTGCATTTGGATGCTCTATTTTCAATTGATTTCATATACAACGAAGGGCAGAACTCTGCTATCTTCCTGCAAAAGTGGCGAAGGTTCTCTTTGCAAAGAATGTTGTTGTGACTTTGAGACTGAGTTGGGGTCTCATGTTAGATAGGCTGTGGACTTGTTGGTCCTGATATTGCATGTGAGGTTGGGGTTAAGGATCCTGAATCTAGACCCAGGATTTTCCCTTACACGCTTGCTGCTATCCTAGGGATGGCACCTCCATATATAAAAATTGGACAGTGAGATGTAATGTGACTATGTTACCATGAGCACACACTGTCACACAATGAAATATCCATGGCAAAACCATGGTTTACTGAGCCAGTCTGCCCTCTGGAGGTGCTCGCAGAATGGGGGATTGTCATGCATGTGCTGCTAAAATGTCTCCTCCTTCTCTGTCAGTTCCTAGAGTGGTGAAGTTCACTACAGGCCTTCACAACGTGGTGTCTGAAGAAGGAAAAGAGGCCACGTTCAAATGCACCGTCTCCCCCAACGATGCTGCAGTTACATGGCACAGAAACGGTGTCAAAATTGAAGCCAGTAAGAAACACGTGATCTCTCAGAAGGACACCAACCATAGCCTCACCATCACTGACCTGACTCTGGAGGATGCAGCAGAAATCTCAGCCAATGCAGAGGGTGTGGAAAGCAAAGCCACCCTCACAGTCCGAGGTGAGAGAGTAAGGTCCCTTTGACTGACTGTCATCCACCCTGTGGGATGTGTTGTTTTGTACGTTCCTTCTACTGACTTTCTGACTTGGCCATGGGGATGAAAAATGCACGTGTTCCACATGTTAGAATAGTGCCCAGAGCGTTGCAGTGCTGGAGCTGCTGCTTCTGTTCACATGGATTTTCCCCAACTTTGATTTCTTCAGAAGGCACCATTTTAATCTTACTTTAGAGCCAGTTTTCTGGAGTCTCTCAACTTTTACTCTTGTCTCATCTCATTTGCCAGAGGCGCCGGTGACGTTCAAGAAGAAACTGGAGCCCAAAACGGTTGAGGAGAGGGACACGGTGACCCTGGAGGTGGAGCTGAGCAAGCCTTCCGCGGAGGTGAAATGGATGAGGAACAGCATCGTGCTGCAGTCCAGTGACAACGTCGAGATCAAGGCCGAGGGGACGAAACACAGCTTGATGATTAAGAACATCACCTTTGCCGACCGGGGCTTCTATTGCTGTGAGACTCTCGAGGAGAAGACCCAGGCCAAGCTGAATGTGCAAAGTAAGCTGATGCCGAATGTCCACCTGTGCTGTAGCCAATGTTAGGAGGCTGGTTTTGGGAATGTGGGTGTTTCCTCTTAGCGTGCTGCCAGTCACATGACTGTGCGGGAGAACGTGAACGCTGGAGCTGCCACAGCTGATTGGTTGTTTGCTCTGACCTCCTCCTTCTACTGTTTCCAACTACCACAGTCCCGTGTCTATTGGCTTCACTCCCCGTGTTCACCATTACACTTCTGAGCTCGTCCCTTCTCCTCTCAAATTCCCTCACCCCTTTCCATGCTGTCTTTTGCCCCATGCGTTTGCTCCTATGAAATCATTCCTCTTCCCACCATTCCATATTCCACCTCTCTTCCTTACAGTGCCCCCCACAAAACAGCTCTTGAAATGCAATTAACGTTAAAATAACAAATCCTCTACCAACAAGTGTTTGAGTATTCAAATAAACTAACGCTCTTCAGTCTGTAACCTCTGTAATTCAGCCTCCTTCCCCGCATTCCCTTTGTCTTCATTGTAACGCCATATCTTCATTTAGGTTGTATGTGCTTCAGGGCAAGGATCTGTCTAGTTATATGTCTGTAAAGCACCCTTAGGAGTTTGGATGCTATATAAATAATAAATGATATTTAGGCACCTTTTGAACAGATGAAGAGAGAGGTTCGAGAGGCTGAGCCCTCATGTAATGGTCCAGATGTGAACTTGGCGATTTCTGCTGAATTTGGATATGGTGTTCTGGCTCACGTCTGTATCTAGTGTGTACACAGGAAATCCATAGAGCTAATTGTTCAACAGTGAGAAATATTCTTAACAGGACCAGAAACCATGTGAAACTCACCTGGCTTTGCATTTTGTTAAAATTCAAAACTCAGATGATCTTTGTGGAAAGGTTGAAAACCTTGGGGTGAGCTTTTGACCAAACCCAGGCCAGTTTATGGCTTTGCCGTGAAATCCTGTGAAATTTGTGGGTTTCAGTGATTTCAGTGGAAAGCCGGGTAAAGTTCAGTCTTGTGGAGATTTTGGGTTTGTTCAGACCCAGGTTTTAGAGGTTGCGAACGGACATGGATCAAAAGCAAAGTAGCTGCTGTGAAACATCCGTAAGGCGTCTGGCCTTAGAGCAGCTTTAGCTAGTCTAGATCCCAGAGTTATAAAGTGTGATGCTTCCCAGGGGCACCCAGGGTTGTGAGGCGCCTAAGGCGCCAGCCCTTAGCGTGAGGAAGTCTTGTCTGTGCCTGCTGTGGATTAGCTCCCTGAAATCACCAGCCTCTGGCAACACAAGCACTGCCTGCCAGGCCTCTGCGGGCCTCGTTCTCTCTGTACAGGTTAGCGATAGGCACACTCCAACCTCCGAGACCTCTGAGCAGCCCTCTGCAGGGCCCAGCCCCTGTTCCACTGGACCCACAACTCTTAGACTTGCTATTCCCAAAGTACACAGCGGTCTGTAAGATTCAACTCAGGGGGACCACTTTACTTAACACACAGCACATAAAGATGTGTAGTGAAAACAATAATAAGTTTATTATCAAAGAACATGGATTTTAGAGAGAGAAAGTCAGAATATTGGAAACAAATGGTTACATATAAAACAAAATCATAACACACTTTACTTTCTGGACCCTAAACTTAACTAGCAAAGCATTCCCCTATCCCCAACAAAATAGCTTACCCATGTCCTTTCCCCAGCATTTCCAAGCGCACTGGCGGCTTGTCCTCACAGATGGAAGGAATGAGGTTATAGCTCTGTACCCCTTTGTTATGCCCCCAGAAGTTCATTGTCCTTATTTGTAAACAGGGCTCTGCCTTGCTGGTCACGTCTTCCTGTATATTTCCTTTCTTAGAAGATTTCACAATCAAAGGTATCAGAAATTGATGCCCAAGTGTATTTAAAAAAAAGCCAGGTCTGTGTAATCTTTTTCACACACAGTTTCTATAGTTTCTTCCTCTTCAGAGTTTTCCTTGCTGTCCTCTGACAAGAGACACTGTTTTAATATCCAGATACAGGATAGTTATCAGCTCTGGTGGCAGCTGCTCATCCAACCGCCACCAAACTGATTAGCCCTAGGAAACAGCAGACTCTGGCTGTGATGAGGAAGATAAAAAGAACCAACCAGGCAGTTAGAGGGCAGGGATATTTAGTGGGTCCATGAGCTGTAGAATGATAATGAACAAAATGTATGCAGTACCTGTTTTTTCTGCAAGTACCATATATCTTATTTTAGAAGCTGCCTTCCTTCAGTAGTTTAACTTTTACAATTCAAGCTGTAGGAGAGGAAGGCAATTAAATACAATAGAAGGCATCCTTCTTTGAAGTGGCTTTTGATATGTTACCAGGAGTATATTGAGTTTTACAAGCTTTGAGATTTTAGCATCACTTTAGTCCCCTTGGCCCGTATTTTTTTTTATTGAGAATACATTGGAAAGGGAAACATTGTCAAATCAAACTTGGCTCAAAATTTGGCTTTTGTAAAAATGTGTTTTACAAAACCTCAGACCAATAGAAATGTTCCCACGACTTAAAAAATAAATTCCAACGGAAACAGTTCTTTAAAGCCACGTAAACATATCATGCAGTGCTTGCGACCCATGCAGTGTAACTTTGGAATACTACAGGACAACTTGTATGTGAAATAACCTTAAATAAAAGTGAAACTGACTAGCACGTGTTCATTGCTCAAGCTGCCATAAATTTATAAATCACATATATAGAGTTGCGTGAATGCATCACAATGAATTTGGCTCCTTTTCCTGCTTTTAGTACATCTGCTAGCAAATAGTGATTGTCTCAAGTTTATTCATTATTAAAAGAAGGATTTTTTATTTGAAATTTTTTATTTTGTTAACTTCGAAGATTAATCTTCAACACACCTATTCATTAAGGGGATGTACAACGTAATAGAGCAGCGAGTAGACATGCAAAAATATTTGGTACATGGTATTCCAAGTTTGAATTTTCTGTGTTAGTTGTGGTTGTTCACATCAATCACATGACATTACACTCTTTTTAACTGGATGAACATTACCCTTTGCAATTCGGTTTTCAGCACAAATGCAAGCGAAAGGATGATCTTGTATTTACGACACTGGACTAGGATTTAGGAGATTCTGCATTTGATTCTACCATAGACTTCCTGCGTGTGAGCCTACACAAATCATTGAATCTCATTTGCCACAGTGTAGCACAGGGGGCCCTGATCTAAGTTAGGATATATACGCACTCTAAAAATACAAATTATAAATAAGCATAAAATATTTGGAAATTCATGAACACTTTCCATGAACGCTTGTAAGGCTAAACTTAACCTGCATGTTCCATGAACATTTGTGCTAATATACTTAGACTACTTGCATGCTCATAGGGAAACCCCCCCCCACAAAAACAGTGAGACTATGGACAAAGTAAATTCACATGTAAATTAGAGCAGGAATTTATATAAATAGTAGGCAGTAAATTAGGTATTTAAAAATTCTTTCAATTACAATAATCTCAGGCATTGTTAGTAACATTTAAAAATCTATTTTTTAAACATTATTAGTAACTTTTTAAAACTAAGCAACCTTTAACCTGAGTGTGCCTTTAATATTTATAATGTAAAATGTAGCCTATACGCGATAAATTGATCCCCACTGGATCGATCACTGCCCGCAGATCTGGCCGGTAGTGAAGACATACCCTTAGAAAACCTGTACTATGGAACTTAGCTATAACTCAAGAAGTTATGTACAGAAATCCCCAGCCTTCTGTCTTAATTGTACTAGACTATTTGGCTGGGTCCATGCCCATAGTAAATGTAAAATATAATACAGTATTATACAGAGAGGTAGAATGCAGTGGAACACAGTACAGTCTGCTCCTCAGTCATCTTTCACGCAATGTGCCCTTTATAGGAAACATTCAGCATTCCTTCCAACAAGTCTGTTTGTCACTTCCAGATTGATGAATTAAAAACAAAACAGCTCTGGCACCCCGATCGATCACTGCTTATATTGTAATGGCTTGGCTACTTTTAATTGCTGCAAAAAGTGTTTTCCTCATTGGGGTTTTGCATGCTTTGTGCCGTGAAAGGCTAATTTCATGTCTCGTTTCTTTTTTTAACCCATTCTGAAGACATGAGCGGATTTCTGTGCCAGATGATGTTTTTCTCCCCTTGTGCTTCCCATACATCTAGCTGCATTTTCATCACTTAGTTATTCTTAGCTTCTCTACATGAGATAGCTTTAAATAGGGGTGTTAATGGTTACAGATTAGGGAGTGCTGGAACTGAATGCACAATGAGATTTAAAATGTACAAGGTGATCTGAAACAAACTGTGACTTTACAAAGGGAAACCAAGGGGATTCTCTTTGCATATGATCAGCCCTGCTTTCTTTATAAGAAGGCATAGGGAAAGGTGTCCATCTTAAGCTATACGGTATGCAATATTTATGAGTCATACAAGTCAGAATGCAAAGATTATAAGCCTAATTCTGATATCACGCTGGTTTTACACCAAAGCCAAGATTTTAAAAAGTAGAGGCCTAAAGTTATGCTCCTAAATCCATATTCAGGCAGCTAAATAAATGTCCTGATTTTTAAAAGTGCTGGATAGAGCTGTGCGAACGACTGATTTGATTGGGGTAGAAAAGAAACCAACTTTTTTGGTACTTTCAGGAAATCAGAAATGTCAGAAAAATTTCATTTTGGGTTGAACAACATTTTTCATTGTGAGCATTTTAAGAACAACCGGGGGGGGGGGGGGGGGGGGATGAAGGGCTGGATCTATGAGAAGCTGCTGCTGGAGGTGTTTACCGCTTCACCACCCTTTTTATCCAATTGCCCAGTGGTTGGAGCACTCAACTGGGATGTGGGAGAACTGGGTTCAAGTCCCTGCACTAGAGTAGGGTTTTGAACCTCAGTTTCCCACAACCCAGGTGAGGTCCCTGACTTCTGGGCTATTAGGTATAAAGATGGCAACTACCTAGCCCCTGATTCTGCATTTTTTGGCCAAATTTTTTTTGCCCAGCTCTCGTGCTGCACACCTAACAGTCCATATTGAAGCTTTTGAGTGCTCAGTAGTCTTGAAAATCAGGGCCCTTATTTAGATGCTTTGCATTGGGCTAAGAAGCTTGATTTTAGGAAGCCATTTTTAATAATCTTGATCTGCATTGATACCATTTGGCCTGATCCTGCTCTCATTTACAGTAGTGCAAATGCAGAGGAGTAACCGTAAAGTCAATTGAGTTACACCATTGTGAAAGCAGTGTGAGAGCAGTAACTAGAATATTAATATTGAGAGGGAAGATTGCAGATCTCTTGACATAATTCCAGCCTGTAATATTTTCTTTTAAAGTAAACCCTTTAAAGGCTTTTCCCCGGATGCCTTCATGGGGGAGGATGTTCGCAAAAGAAGAAATTTATGCCAGGCCTATCTTTACTATATGGCTGGAGGGTGTCTGCTGAGAACTTGCTCCATTTCTTGAGGCCTTGGCTACACTTGCAGCTGTACAGCGCTGTGAGGTAAACCTGTCTTCGTACAGCTGAGTAGGGAAAAGCGCTGCAGTCTGTCCACACTGACAGCTGCCAGCGCAGTGGTGTGGCCACACTTGTAACATTTGCAGCTGTGTTGGGAGCGGTGCATTATGGGCAGCTATCCCAGCATTCATGTGGCTGCAACGTGCTTTTCAAAATGGAGGGGTGGGGTGGATTGTGACAGGGAGTGTGCGGGGAGAGAGAGCGCTTTTTGGAGCCTGTCAGCTCTCTATTTTGCAAGTTCCGAACTCCCGGCCCCCTGCTCATTCATTTACTCACTCAAAGCAAGCTGCAAACTGTTTGGTTTTCTCTGTGGTACGAGCTTTGAAACCGGCACTTCCGCATTCCTGCAGCCGGTCACAACAATGGAGAGGATTGGTCACTTGACAAGGTGATTAGTGCAGCGTTTACACTCACACCCGTGAGTCGTAGCCACTCTGCTGCAGCTGTTATTCCTCTCGGGGAGGTGGAGTACCTGCAGCGGTGTACCCAGGGAGATACAGCGCTGCAAGTGCCCTGCCAGTGTGGACGGGGAGTGAGTTACAGCGCTGGGGGAGGCTTTACAGCGCTGTAATTTGCAAGTGTAGCCAAGGGTGTTTTTTGCTAATCCCTTCCCCTCCAGCTCATTCCCAGCAACCTCAGCACATTCCCTGTTTGAAGCGCTGAAGTATCTGTTGAACCAGAGGAAAGGTCATCACAGCAGCAGGCACACCGGATTCTTTGGAAACATCTTTCAGCTTAAAGAATGAGACACCATAGAGGGGGGAAGGGAATGGCTGTAAACTTAGATGAAGAGTCAAGGACTAATGCAGCCGTAGAGGGAATGGAGTTCAGAATCTGTGTCCGAGAAAGGGAAGCAACAGTGCAAACTCCTGGAAAAATGTCTGTTCTTCACTCCTTGGGCATGGGCAAAGAATGTCCCGGGGGACAAAACTTGTCTCGGCCTCAGTGGTCGTGGAAAAGATGCCTTGGCAGAGGAACCAGTGCAGTTCCATTGGACAGAGAATGAGTAAGATTTAGAGATTTGTTGTAGGTACTGCACATCCCCTGCCGTGTGGAGGAACGGGGCAGCAATGCACAGTAGGAAGGGCCAAAGGATCCATCACTGTGAGGATTCTTTGGCTTTCTTCCTGAGGCAGAAGGGGTTGTGGCCACATAGAACTACTTGGGCCTAGTTTCTGAAGCAGCTCCATGAAGCAGTTCCACAGTCGCTCTGGAGCCTACGGGGGCGGAGTCCATCAATGGCAGGAGGGTTTTGAGTCTTGAAGAAGACAGTGGACACCTAAGAGTAAGACCCAGGCCCTCGTCACAACCATGGAACTGAGCACCCATGTGAACTCCTGGTAATGCTTGGATATCTGGATCCATATCTGAACTTTGTGGCTTGGGTTCATCTCTTCTGCAGACACATTAGAAGGTTGGACTATTCCCAATTCAGCCTTGTGGAGTTTAAAGTTTTGTGAGCGTTTTATGGTTTTACTGAAGTTAACTATCCTCATTTTTTTTCTGGTATTTTGATCCATTTTTAAGAGTGATTCAGTTTTAAATACTAAATTGATCTTTCTAATTGATGGGCGGTTGCTGCTATATATTCAGGGTAGGTAAAACTCCCCAAAAGTGAGGCTGGCTCAAATGGGTATCCTAGGCACTATATTGTGTATGGTGAGACTTTTTTATACAAATTTTTCACTCCTTCCTTTACCTGCTATTTTCACCCCATAGTTTATCCTTTTTGGAATGCTGACAAGGGCTGATTCATTGTTCCTTGTGCTCCCCCATCTGTCTGGTGTACCTACCTGTTGTCTCTCATTTGTATATGGCCAGTAAACTCTTCAGGTTAGGAACTGTTTCTTTGTTCTGTGTTTGTACAGTGCCTAGCCCAGTGGGGTCCTGGTCCATGACAGAGGCTTCTAGGCACTACTGCAATATAAATAATTAACAAAAATTACCTTCTCTAGGGCATCTGGTACTGGCCAGTGTCAGTCAGTGGTTTGATTCACTTTTGTTTATTTGTTTGAAGTGACTAATCTGCTACCTTTGCTCTGAGTGAGTGGGTGGAGAGGTTATCTTTGCTTCCAGTGCAATGTCTCCAACCCTTCAATATCATTTGTTTTTCAGTGAGGCAGATCAAACTGGTGAAAGGCCTGCAGCCGCTGGAAGCCCGTGAAAAGGGGACTGTCACCTTCGAGCTGGAGCTGTCTCATGAGGATGTGGAAGGAAGCTGGATGAAGGATGGCCTGAAACTGAAACCAGGGGAGAACTGCCACATTAGCATCCTGGGGAAGAAACATTCACTGACACTTTCGTCCCTGAAGCTAGAAGACTCAGGCCTCATCGCCTTCAAGGCAGAAGGCATCCATTCTTCAGGGAGGCTTATAGTAACAGGTATATACCCCTGCAGTCTGGAACTCTGCTTGGGATGTGTTCCTGTAGAACAGACAGTGCATGCCATAGGTTGACTGCCAGTGACACAGTCCATCTGGGTATGTCTTGATTAGTTGTTAATGCCTGAGGTTTTCAGAGCCGTGCGTGTCAGTATTCTGCAGTTCATGGCAAGTGGAGTTCATATCTCGCTTCTGTATTTACTGTTGAGATGCACAAGAAAACAGCAGAGAAAGCGGATATAAATATACCCTTTCACACATCCCCACCTATTATTATGTATGATTGTTGATGATCTGTTATTAAGTACTGACAATTTGCTTGGTGCTGTCTAAGGTACCAAGTGAAGGCAATCCTTTCCCTTATTGTGCTTGGAACTCCCTTCTTGAGCTGGACTCTCCTTTATTCAAATCCCTCCCGAAGACCCGCCTTTTCTCTGTTGCCTACCAGTAACTATCATGGTATAGATGTAGGGTAATTTATGACTGTCTTTAGTTCTTTATATAGATAATGTATATGCTGTCATTAAAACTGTATATAATCAGGATGCAGATGATTGCCATTTGTCCACCTTGCTTGCTTGCTTCTTGTCTGTATCTGAATGTCATGGCAGGGTCTTTGTCTTTCTTGTTATTTGTACAGTGCTTAGCATATTCTGTCTGCTACCAGGAACAAATCATAATTAATAATAATGACCTTATGTACTGAATAAATTAAATATGGGCTGTGAGCCAATGGCAGAATATGCAAAACAATTTTTTTCTTTTTCTGTTTTTTTTTTTGCTTACAGGATATAGTAATCACTTAAGATGTATCCTATTTATTGATTATTCTCTGAGTCTTGTGCTCCTACCAAACCCAATCCTCCTCTTACTGTATTTTCTTTTTTGGCAGAGTTGCCTGTGAAAATAAGCAAGCCTTTGCTCGACATCAAAGCTCCTGAGAAGGATAAGGTGACATTTGAGTGCGAGCTCTCCAGGCCTAATGTGGAGGTCAAGTGGTTTAAGGTACAACACTAAGGGTATGTCTACACTTACCCGCTGGTTCGGCGGCAAGCAATCGATCTTCTGGGATCGATTTATCGCATCTTGTCTAGACGCGATAAATCGATCCCGGATCGATCCCGGAAGTGCTCACCGTCGATGCCGGTACTCCAGCTCAGCGAGAGGAGTACGCGGCATCGACGGGGGAGCCTGCCTGCGGCGTCTGGACCCGCGGTAAATTCGAACTAAGGTACTTTGACTTCAGCTACGTTATTAATGTAGCTGAAGTTGCGTACCTTAGTTCAAAGTGGGGGGTTAGTGTGGACCAGACCTTAGTAGACAATAACATCTTCATTTCTCTTTTAGGGCCTGATCTAACTTCTCCTGAAGTCAGTGGGCACCTTTCCATTAACTTCAAAAGGATATGGATATGGGCTGTTTCTATGCAGCTCTGGTTATCCAACATTAATCAAAACTCCCCAGTTTTCTTTGTCTGTTAGCTCGTCCAGTCTACCTTACCTCTGTCTAGGATGTTTACTTACCAGATCTTTAAGGGTATTTTCATGGAGGTAGTCCCAAATTTCAACTTTTCTGGAATTTACAGTAAACTTGCAGATTTTTGGTGCTTTTATGTAAGGCTTGTTGATGACTATTGGTCCAGTCTCCTGACTCATTTAACCATGAGGCATGTTGTCAAATTGTTACAGTACAGTACTGGGATCCAGGACTCCTGGGCATGTTAGATCACCTCTCCTGGGCCTCAGTTCATCCCTTTGTAAAATGGGGACAATAGTGACAAGTCTCAGGGTATGTCTACACCCAGCCGCTAGTTCGGCGGCTGGCAATCGAAGTTCTGGGTTCGACTTATCGCGTTTTGTCTGGACGCGATAAGTCGAACCAGGAAGTGCTCGCCGTCGACTGCGGTACTCCAGCTAGACGAGAGGAGTACCGTGGAGTCGACGGGGGAGCCTGCCTGCCGCGTGTGGACCGAGGTAAGATCGAACTAAGGTACTTCGACTTCAGCTACGTTATTCACGTAGCTGAAGTTGCGTACCTTAGTTCGATTTGGGGGGTGAGTGTAGACCAAGCCTCAGAGTGGTGCTGTGAGGCTTAATTATTTACTGTTTATGAAGTGCTTTGAGGCCCTTGGATGAGTACACTGTGGTTCCAGTTCCTCAAAGTTTTAAGCACATGCTTAAGTCCATCCCTATTTGGTGATGCATTCACGCATGTGCTTAACTTCAGTCATGTGCTTAAGTCCCATTGACGTAAGTGAGACATAAGCATGTGTATAAAGTTAGGTACGTGTGAATGCTGCACTGAGCCAAGGCTTATATAAGGGTAATAAGCGATTATCCTGTTTTGGTTTTTTCCTTCTAGAACGGATCTGAGCTCCGCCCAAGTAAAAACGTGACAATTATTTCCCAGGAAATTAAGAGAAGCCTCATTATTCACAAGTGTGACTATGATGACCAAGGAACCTATGTATGCGATGCAGCTGACGACAAGAGTTCCGCTACCCTTATGGTCCATGGTATGTTTGATAGACAGAGGAAATGGTCCCTGTTTTGGAGGTGTATTTGCATTATCTGACAGCCTATCACAAAATGCTTCCTAGGTGATTTCTGCCTCGTTCGGTTTTCTCTTCTGTAGATACTTTTGCAAGTAAGTGCCAACTTTTTCTTCCAGGGCTCATGCTATTTATCATTTTCCTTATTCTGTTAAACTTTGTTTATTGATTTTTATAATGACCAACAAATTATGACGAACAATTGGCAAGAGACCAGATACAGTACTGCTTGGTAGACAGCCATGGTCAAATGGTTAGAACTCCCAAGTTTTAGTTCAGACTCTACCATTGATTCAGTGAGACTTTGCCAGAGTCAGGAGTGGATAAAACTAAGCTGGGGTCACAGTATTTGTCCCACTTTAAGCTACAAATGCTAAGATGAGAAAATAAAATCTCACACTTCATTAGCTTAGCTTACTGCCGTAGGTGTCAAGACCGGATTTTGTCCTCTGTGTACAGCAGTGCCCAACTGCTGAGGATTGATAGAATTTCTCATCTTCCTCTGAAGTTTCAGGTATTAGCAGTGCTGAAGGAGGGTTTTGAACTGTGTGGAGTAGCGGTCTGGGCTATAATCAGTCATATGAAAATATAGCATAACAGCCCTTTTTGGTTTCCAGTTCCATGCTGCCATTCGGCAGCCACTCAGGTCAAGTTGCAGAGATGGTTTTAGAAAATGTCCCATTCCTGCTCACCCTTTCTTCTTGAGTTAGAGCTTTGGATTTGTTGCTCTTTGGAGGCTGGTTCGTTTACATATAAACATAGACATATCATCACAGGCAATTCTGAGATTAATGCAGGCTGTGTGAAGTACTTCCCTTTGGGTAGTGAAAGGCTCCGATAAAATTGACAGGGCTAGATTCAGAGCTGGTGTAAATGATTGCAGCTCCACTCGTGTCAATGGAATTGTGCAGGTGCTTACAGAAGAGACCTGATTCTGATTTCACTAGACCGTAACACAGAAGTGACGTCGTGAAGTTACAGGAACACCTGTGGTTGGAAAGCCTGCGTAGCTGAGTTTAGAACTAGGCTTCAGGGCTTAATTTGGGCTAAAGAGTTCCACTGACGGTGACCTCTCTAAGTGGAAATGATGTTTTTTATTGTGGTTGTGAAACACAAACAGAGGCTGTGGCCAGCCACAAAGAGGACGGTGCAAAGACAGAGCTGCCTGTGCTCTCTCCCAATGCTGGGACTTGCTGTGTGTCAGTCCAGTCCCCTGGCATAACGTAGGTTGCTCTAACTTGTGTTGGCTGTCATTGGCCCACAGGGGCTGTTCTGGGGGCCGTGGATCGCCGGGGTTTAGGGAAGCCCTGTCCATGCCACTTTCACTGGACCACACCCATTGCAGTAGCTGCAGAAAGGGGGTGGTGAAGGAGCTATTACATTGGCTCTGCACTGCTGGAGGATTCCCCATCACCCCCATACTGAGTTGGATCATCCCATAGTTGACTCTGCCATGTTCAGGGATGCTTTATACTAGCAGTGCAAAACAGCCACAGCACAACCAGGAGCAGGGCCTGTGTATTTAGCAAGTGACTGGTTAAGACACCCCTTGGCATGGTATAAGTTTCCTCAGCTTGCTCCACTAATGCTTGACTTAACCCTGACTGTCCAGGAGAACCATCTTAAAGGTTGACACTTAGTTGATTAAGTTTTCTTGGTAGATGAATCCTAGGCTCCTCCTGAGAGTATTAATCATGACAAATTACCTATGATAATGTGAACTTTCCAGCTGTTGTTTCTGAGAGGGGAATAGATTGAGGTGGCTGATAGAAACCCAGCTATTACGGTATCTTTAAAATAAAACACTTTGAGGAGCTCTCAGTGGCCAGGGCAGATTGGAAAAGGCCTCAGATGAATCATATTTAACTGGCCAAATCATACTTAAGGGCCAAAATTTGCTTTAGGACCAAATTTTATCCTATTATATGCAAAATGTTGCCCTAGGAGTGCACAGCTACTATGATGAAGTCATTGGTAATTCAACAGACACATACAAGGGCAAAATGTGTCTACTATGCTGTGGAAGGATTTGTACAGAGGAAGGCAGGCAAGTGTGGATTAAAACACAAGCTATAATCACGTTTTTTCAAGGGGGACTACGTGAAAAATAAATCAACTTCATAAAGCTATGGAGGAACCAAATATAAACATGTCTCTGTGATCCCATAGCCCGAGATATCAAGATTATTAAACCACTGGAAGATGTGGAAGTGAATGAAAAGGAGAGTGCATCTTTCACCTGTGAGATCTCACATGATGAAGTCCAAACCCAGTGGTACAAAAACGACAACAAACTGAGGGCTGGAGACAACATTAAGATGCGTCAAAAAGGTAGGGTGCAAAAGTAGGGTGTTGCACGCCGTATTGTTAATGGGTATGTGGTGAGAAAAGTGGGAAGAGGAGCAGAAAGTGTTGTGCTTTGAGCACAGAGCGCTGGCTCCTGGAATCTACTTGAGAAGTTACAACTTGTAGTATGTCCTGCTGTTCTAGTGCCGTTGTCAACTGCAAGTAGGACTGGAATTGCCGTGTAGTGGCAACATGACCCGCTTTCATGAAGGGGGATGTGAGTATAGATCACTTGCCTTCACGGCACTCCAAGTCAGGAGCAATGCACTTGGTTCCTTGAGGGAGTGAGCCGTTACCTAGCGTTGATTGACTCTGGAAGCAGCTGTGTCCAATCTTCTCCAGCTAGGGTGCCTATCGCTATGCAAGAGGGGCTTTCAGTTTCTTGAGATAGAAAAAGGGAAAATGTATGGACGTGTGAGAGAGACACTCCAGAGGAGTCCAACCACCCCCAGGATTAAATAATTCTAAGTACAGTTCAGTCCCTCGAAGGCACAAGGATTTGGATTAGAGTTAGAGTGTGTGATAATGTACCAGTGTCTGCCTATCCATATTCAAGACAGAAATTCAGAACGGGGGAGCCATTACAGTCCTACAGGGAGTCAACTTTACTTTTCTAACCACTACAGGAACTTCCTGTGACTTGGGGTCAGATTCACCACTGTTAAAAGTGGCTGTCGGTCTGTTAGAGCTAATAGAATAGTGCCTGCTTATACCAGCAGCATTTAGGCTCAGAAGATAAAACCATCTTCTCACAGCGGGTTATGTATGCTTGTGTTTTTATTCACAGGAAAGACCTATGCATTAGTTTACAAAAGTGTCCATGTGGAAGATGCTGCGGAGATCAAATTTGTAGCAGAAAAGGCAGAATCTCGAGCGCAACTTAGAGTTAAAGGTAAGTCTAACAGTAATGACAGCATTGTTAAAACTGTTTTTTGTAATAAAGTAACCAGCTCCCATTGACTTCAGTGGGAACAGTGCGAAGCTGCCGCTTAGCACTTCTGAAAATCCCAGCCTAGCTACATTGAAATGAACAGGAAAAAACATAACACCACTGTCTGGGTTTCCCTATACAAAGAATCAACCTCCTTGTTGGGTATTTACCTTTGCTAAATAAGATACAAGTCTTCCTCTCGATACGGACAATTTTTTAATTCTTATTTTTAGACGAAAAGAGCCATGTTTAGATTTTGGGGGGAAATGTTCTTTTCTTTTAAGAAGGCATCCCCATTTCTGTCTTGTGAGCATTGTCCCTTGCTGCTTTACACTTAAGTTGTGTGACAATGTGTCAGGCTGGGCAGCTGCAAGAGGGTAGTCCTATTGGGTACCGGGAAGTGGGCGGGCACAAGGGGAGGAGCCACTGGGCCCGGGATTTAAATAAATACGGGGGACAACAAAACCAAAAATAAGGACAGGCGTGAAGGTCAAAGGGTCATAAGTAGGGAATCTGAAAGGGACACCGAACAGAGAACCCCAGACAGCACCCACTGCTCCTTGAAGGTGTCAAGCGAGCCAGCGAACGCTGCCCAGGGGATCTCTGCCCAGATACGTGAATGGAGAGAGGAATGGAAGTAGGCCTCACAGTCGCAGAGCACCCCCTCGGCCAACATCCTCTCCCTGGGGTTAGAGAGGGCCACTTTAGCCATCGCTAGGAGGAGGTCTTGCGACTTCGTGGGGCCATGGAATGTGCATAGATAAGAAGGTTAGGGGAGAAGTGCAGCCAGGACCATAAAAATAGGTTCAGGAGGAGCCGGAACAGGGGCTGCAACCCAGCGCACTCAAGATAAGCGTGCGCCAGGATCTCCCTCATGCCGCAAAAGGAACAGGCATCTGGGATAGGAGTGAACCGCGCCAGATACATACCCATCCTCATGACACCATGAAGGAGCCACCACCTAATATCCCCCGTGGGCCGTGGGACCAACGTGGAATACAGCGTGACCCATCAAGGTTCCTCACCCTCAACAAGTGGCAGTAGGTCCTGACACTTAGTATTGGGGCGGGACACCAGGGTGAGGAAATGGAGAGTATGGAGCACGAGCGTGTACAAATGTGCCCTTGGCGCGGTTCAGAAGCAAACCGGCTGCAGGTTGTGCAGCCGGCTCGAGGTATGCGGGGGGCGGCTGAGGGAGCTCACGGGGCATGGGCCCGATGGAAAGATCCAGAGGGCCCAGGGTGAGGGATGGGCAGGGAACACCCTCCCACAGGACCTGCTTGAGGTAAACCCGAGAGACGGGCAACAAGGCAACCCTCACCTCCTGAAGTATGCGCAGGGGAGTTCAAAGGGTGGAGAGCCCCAGGCACTGAGCAAGCACCAGGGGATCCATCCTCTCTCTCCGGTCGTAGTCCAGGAGGTCTCCGATTCTGGTAACTCCTGCCAGGACCAACCTCTGGCGCATCGAGGGGGATGCAGGAGGGTGGTGGAAGGCAGGTAGGTTAGCCCTAGAATGCCAAAGGCCCTTTTCCCTATAAGCTGAGAAGGGGTTACCTCAGGTCAGTTAGGGACACCTGACTCTGATTAAGGGCTGCCTGAGGCCTTTAAAACCCCCTCCTCTGGTGAGAGGAGGTGGAGGAGAGACAAGTTGCTTCAGAGCTAGTGGCAGCAGGGAGATGGGCTTCTCCAGGGTGAGAGGCTGCTCTCCTCCCAGCAAGGGAAACCACCAAAGCTGAGTGCCTGTTTAGGGGAAGGACTGACTCTCCAGGGCCAACAACAGGACAGCACCCTCCCAGCGAGAGGGCAGGGAAAGGGATCCCCCTTTGTTTTGTGTTTGTAAGTTGATTTTTTTTCTTGTTTGGCGGAGGAGCACTCCCTGGGCCTGCCCGGAGGCCTACCTTGAAAATACTGACAAGTAAACACGGAGGGGGAAGACAAACACTGTCCAGCATGGGGCTGATTTACCCCAGGCCCTAACACCGCCAGAGGGGGAAGTGCCAAGTCCGGCAAGACAGAGGAGGCCCCTTGCCACAGTTGTATAGAGAATTTTTGTGTCTAATTTAAAAGGCACGTTCTGAGGGAGAAGGAAGGGTGGCCTCGTAGTTAATAATAATATCGGGAGATATACCTATCTCATAGAGCTGGAAGGGACCCTGAAAGGTCATTGAGTCCCACCCCCTGCCTTCACTAGCAGGACCAAGTACTGATTTTGCCCCAGATCCCTAAGTGGCCCCCTCCAGGATTGAACTCACAACTCTGGGTTTAGCGGGCCAATGCTCAAACCACTGACCTATCCCTCCTCCCACTGCACTGGGACTAAGGACTAATGCACTGCACTGGGACTAAGGAAATCTGGATTCAGTTCCTACCTCTGCCACCGACTCCCTGCACAGCCTTGGGCAAGGTATTTAGCCTCTGTGTACTTCAGTTCCCCATTGGTATAATGGGGATAATAATGCTTCCTTTCTCCAACTCTTTTTCTTATGGTGTGTGCAGTGGGGTCCCAATCATTTCCAAATAATTTTTGATAATGAAGGAAATGTTACTAATGAGTTTCATCTGGCAATTAATTGATCTTTGACTATTAGCGGTAAATATGTCCGATGGGATGTTAGATGGGGTGGGATCTGAGTTACTACAGAGAATTCTTTCCTGCGTGCTGGCTGGTGAGTCTTGCCCACATGCTCAGGGTTCTGCTGATCGCCATATTTGGGGTCAGGAAGGAATTTTCCTCCAGGGCAGATTGGCAGAGGCCCTGGAGGGTTTTCGCCTTCCTCTGCAGCGTGGGGCATGGGTCACTTGCTGGAGGATTCTCTGCACCTTGAGGTCTTTAAACCACGATTTGAGGACTTCAATAACTCAGACATAGGTTAGGGGTTTGATACAGGAGTGGGTGGGTGAGATTCTGTGGCCTGCGTTGTGCAGGAGGTCAGACTAGATGATCATAATGGTCCCTTCTGACCTTAAAGTCTATGAGTCTACAACCACACAGTTTGTTTTTTATTCCTCCTCCTTAGAACTGCCTGTAAAATTTGTGAAGCCTCTGCGCGATAAGATTGCTATTGAGAAGCACCGGGGTGTCCTGGAATGCCAGGTGTCCCGCCCTACGGCCAAGGTTAAGTGGTATAAGAAGAACGTTGAGATTCTTCCCAGCCAGAAATATGAGCTGGTGAGTGACGGTGTCTATAGGAAACTCATCATCAACGACGCCGAGTTTCAGGATGAGGACGTTTACACATGTGATGCTACTGATGACACAAGCAGTGCTCATTTCTATGTTGAAGGTACTGGACTATTTTCTTTCGACTTATTGGAGGGAGAGTGGATAGTTCCAGAAAGTATTTGAAATGTAATCTACAAATGTAACTTAAAAAATGATCAAATGCTAATTATTTCTGCAACCTGTTGGCATTGCTTTCCCCTAGGATTTTGGGGGCAGGCGCATCCAGGAATATGAACTTGTGATCTATCCTTCCCAAGGAAGTGGTAGAATCCCCATTCTAGAGACCTTTACAATTAGAGTGGAGAAAGCCTATTGTAGGGAATAATTCTGCTTTTGCAGTGGGATTTCAACTAGATGCCCGACATGTTTCCCATCACTGATGTCTTTAATTCTGTGAACCTTCTATTTTGGTTTATATTTCTTGGTTTCTGATGACAGAACAGAAAGGATGGTCTTGTGGTGCAAGCCAGGAGACCTGGACTATCTTCTGGCTTTTGTCACAGGCTCGCTGTCTGACCATTCACCAGTCACATGTTTTGCCATATATAAAAAGGAACCAATAATATTTACCTACCTGACAGTTCTGTGAGGCTTAATTCACTAATGTGTGTTAACTTTCTTGACCTCTCTGGGCATGGAGTATTATAATTAATATGAAAAAGTCTATTCCTAAATGCATGGTCTAACAGTGTTTCTCAAACTGGGGTACTCCAGGGGGTCCGTAGGCCCCGCTGATCAACTCCTCCCCCTCCCTCCCAGCGCCTCCTGCGCACCAGGGAACAGCTGTTCAGTGGCGTGCAGGAGGCACAGGGAGGAGTGGGGACAGGGCGCGTTTCAGGGAGGGGGTGGAATCGTGTCCGGGGCTGCTGGCCCAACTGATCAACTCCTCCCCCTTCCCCCAGTGCCTCCTGCATGCCACAGAACAGCTGTTCCCCAGTGTACAGGAGATGCTGAGCGGGAGGGGGAGGAGTGGGGATGGGGCGCACTCGGGGGCAGGGGGGGTCCCCTTGGGTTGCTAAAGTTTTGAGAACCACTGGTCTAACATCTTCCTCTTCTTGCTTTCTACCCTCATCCCAGAGCAATCCATTAATATTGTAAAGGAGTTAAGTGATGTGGATGTGACAGAGCCCGCAGAAGCCAAGTTTGAATGTGAGATCTCCATTACATCGGTGAAGCCCCCGAAATGGTCTCTGGGTGGAGAGGTCTTACAGACGGGCAGAAACATTACTATAGAGCAAGAAGGCACCATCCATCGGCTGATTCTCTGGAAGACCAATTCTGACATGACAGGCACCATTCAGTTTGCAATTGGCAAATCAAAATCCACAGCAAACCTGCTTGTAAGAGGTAATTTGATGTGCCCTGGATGTGAGAATTAATTAGAGCATGGCCCAGACTCCTTCAGAACCTTCTCCCACTCACCCAAAAATAATATCAGCCTAACTTGCAACTGTTTTCTGTATAGTCTCCATCACTTGGAGTCTTTAAACTAAGATGTCTTTCTACAAGATATGCTGGAGTTCAACCACAAGTTATTAGGCTTAATGCAGGAATCAGTGAGTGAAATTATATTGTCTGTGTTACCCAGGAGGTCAGATTAGATGATCACAAGGGAACCTCTGGCCTTAAAATCTGTGAATCTAAAACCAGGACAGTCACAGTAAGATCCCATAAGAACAAAAAAGCTGACATACTGATTCATACCATGGACCGGCTTGCCCAGTATCCTGTCTCCTACAGTGGCCCATACCAGAACTGCAGGGGAACTGTACAGAACAGGGCCACTATGGAGTGAGCCACCCCTGTCTTCCACTCTCAGCTTCTGGTAGTCTATACCCTCTATACTTCCTGCTTTGGGCCAGGGTCAGCAATAAAGAAATACTAAGAGAGGCTGTTCCCAATGTGTTTTTACTCACCCAAGCACAGAAAAAGGCTGAAACTTTCCAGTAAAGCCTCTTGCAGGTTTCCAGGCCCATTTGTAGAAAGGAAAGGTTTCAGTAGGAAGGCCAGAAGAGGTATGGTATAGGATTTGATCCAAACTGCATTAAAGTCAATGGAAGGCCTTTCATTTACTTTAGTGGGCTTTGGATCAGGCCCATCGTACTTTTAATACTGGACTGGGTATCAGCAACACTTGAGTTCTAATTCTGACTGAACTTCTCTGAGGTCATGGGCAAGACCCC